ATAACAGGATTTATTTATTTATTAACATTAACACAAGCCTAAATTTTATGACAATATTCTATCTCCCTTAAGTCATTTTTTCATGCTTCAAGATTTATTTTCATGGAAGACACAAAAAAATAAAATATAAATACCGTGATTTGAGATAGTCGCTGAGAATGTGATATGTCATTCCTAATTTCCTATGAGCGTGAAGCCAACAAATGAGGTTTTTGTAAGACCGTGCCACTATGACCTAAAATTCATTTTTTCAATTTCTGCCACTGCAGAATTTGATGCTTCAAAAATGATATAAATTTAATGGATATGTGGAAATTTGAAATGAAAGATGAAAAATAAAATATTGCACAGGCCTGGCACATTACAAGCCCTACTCATAAGCAATCTTTTATTTTCCCTCCTAATTATCAAATTTAAAATATCAAAGAGCACAAATTTGCTAGATATGTGAATATTTCAAAATATACCGTCTTAAAAATATAGAAAAATTTATCAACTATTTAACATTTTACCCATATGTTTTGATTTACTTTCAAAATACACATAAAAATATAGTATCTTGAGTGGAAATAGTATAAGTGTAAAATATTATATAATTTGAAAGTAAATTGTATTTTCACAAATTTCCCAAAAGTATAGTACAAGATGTGCTAAGTCATTTCTCATTTTATATGCATAATCTAATAATCATTGAGGTCCATAATTCAACCTCTTCCAATTTGGGAAATTTACAGATAAATTTTATTGTCCCATAGATTTCATATTTTACCCTTAAGTCTCCTCTTTTGAGAATATAAAGTGCATTTTAATCTTATCTATTTTTTTATACATCAAATTAAGCTCAAATTTGAGATATCATTCGCCTAATTGTTTTTAAAGTTTTTTTATAGGTACATGTAGACATGTGGAATTTGAGCTTAACCTAATTTATTAAAAAAAGATTACATTAAAATGCACGTTTCTCAAAAATAAGATTTATTTGCAAAGTATGAAATACAACATATTATCTTTAGATCATGTATACCATGCTACCTCGGGAGCATAGTTTACTTCTATTTCTCGGTCCGATGACCTATTTGGGAGGATTTTTTTAATCCAAAATTTTAGTAACCACCATAGAAACACCATATAATTATTCTCAAGAAAAAAAAAAATTGAAATTTGAGTTTTTTTAACACTTAGATCTTACTTTCAAAAAAATTGGATAGCTTTTATTCAATCTTGAGATATTATTATTATTATTTTTACAAAAGTTATATCCTAGAAATTTGAGGTCATAGAAATAAAGAGTAGAATGAGGATACAGACATCAAATCACCCGGAATTGAGTCGTGCTTAGTCCAAAGAGAGGTTCCCATCCTCATACCACTGTTTTCTCAAATAATAAGAAAAAAAGCACGGTATACGGATGGGAGCATCAGAACACTCATGAACCAGAGGATGGTCCGAGGATTCGAATCTCGAACTGCCTGAAAACAACCCTTAGAGCTCGGGGCACTGCACTACTAACAAAAAAAAAGCTATTTTTTTAAACAAGGGCAGTCTAAATGATGACATCCTTGCACAATTCGAAAAAAAAAAAAGTTGACCAACTTTTTTAGAATTTTAGTATTTTTCTTACTTATATATAGTCCTTACATAAATTTTTCAAATAAAAAAAAAAAAAAATATCGTGAGCATAACTTCTTTATATTAAAATAGGATTTATTCCCTATTTTTAATTTTTTTAAATAGGATTTATTCCCTATTCTCACATTATACAATTCCTATTTTTTATTTTTTTAAATAGGATTTATTCCCTATTCTCACAGTATACAATTCCTATTTTTTATTTTTTTAAAAAATAGGATTTATTCCTAAATTTCCTTCCCAATTTTCCGTCTTCCGGTGCTCCTCTTGTCATAAAAGGCCAGAGAATGCCATTCGCTCCAATTCAGCGAGACGACATCCAGAAGCGGAGCGCCAACTGCTGGTACTTTCTCTCTCTAAAATCCTTATATCTCTCTTCAGCCATTTCTCTCTCTTCACGCATGCTCTTTGCCTAGGGTTTCTTTCACTGTGCTTTTTCGCCTTGGTTGCTTCTTCTCCTCACTCTGCATGTCCTTGCTTTCTTGCATTTGCTTGATTTACTTGCATTTGGATGTTCATTTTTACGCATGTTCATTGTTATTTATTTGTTTCTATGGACCGTATAGGTTTTCTCCCCTCTGGTATTTCCCTATCTATTTTCTTTTCTTGTAAAATTTTTGGATATGCAACAGTGCATGCCTTAGTTTGTGCATAAGTTCGCATTTTTCATTTGTTTGCAAATTCTGTTTTTAACTGAAGGTAATATAATCGTGCTCTAGAAATAATAGAGTGACGTGCTTTTATTGGTTCTATTGTCATTTTTTTGTGAAGATGTAATTAAATTAACACAGAAGGTATATTGTCCAAATCCTGAGTATCACAAAGTAAGTTCCATAAAATTTTTAAAATAATAAAAATCAAAGTTTGATATTGTAGAGATATTTTTACCATTTTTTTGAATTTACCAGGAGCAATTTAAGATTAATACTAATATATTGGATTATATCAAGGAATCAAGTTGGATTCACTGGGCTTTAGTTCAGATTCTCAATCGCATAAGACAATACACCAAATACAACTAGTTCAACTTCACAAAGAACCCAATTACATAGGAATTCACATTGTATAAGAAGAAAAGGCATATTTTGTATTTTATAAGAAAAAAGACATATTTAAATAACGGAAAAATGCAACTGAAACAGCATACTAGTTTTGCACTGCTCATGAGTTGCTGAAGAGCCTAAATGTTTCTCTGCCCTGGCCAAAACGAAGAGCCCTTGGAAATGAATCTGATAAAATTGGTTAAAATACTGTGAATTATGTCCACTGTGTTCGCTTCTATGTCCAATGTATTTGCCTTGCAATTATCATTTAATTAGCAATTGTGAGTACTTTTAATGTTGAGTTCAGTTCTACCATGAGAAATGCTGCACCAAACATGTACATTTTAGTCTAATTTTTTTTTTAATCTTGAGTTCAGTTCTACTATGAGAAATGCTACACCAAACATGTACATTTTAGTCTAATTTTTGGTGATTATTTTCTTAATTTTTTTTTTTCTAGACTCGAAAGTATGTTTTTTTATTGTTTCTTTTCTGTTATGAATCGTCTTAATCCTCAGAATGTTAGTAGTAATTTTATGTGTAAAAACATCTTTAAAGACTTCCAAATGTGTAAAATGTTTAGGGAGAGAGAGAATTGAAGTGAAAGAGCTCTACGTGTGTACAATTCACAAATTTTGTATTGGTTCAAAAAAATTTTCTTGGCTTCAACAACTGTTTAGAGATATTTGTTTTCCTTTTTGATTGCAAATTCTTCTATAACTTTGTTTCCCAATTGATTTGAAGTCATCTAATTAGCAATTGTAGGACTACCTTGGATAATATTCTCGATTTGATTAAGTTGAAGGTTTTATTTGGGAGCTTTTTGAAAACAAATAAATGTCATGATAAAAGAAGCTCAATTGTTTTCAGGAACTCTAATTTGCTCTCTTTGAGGAAGGGGGCCTAAAAGGCTGAGGGTAGGAGAAGAGAAGCAGAATGAATGCACCTGATCGCTATGAGCGCTTTGTAGTTCCTGAAGGCACCAAGAAGTTAGTCCCCCACTCCCCCTTTCTCTCTTCAAGCTTTGTCTTTTGCTCAATTTGCGGCTTTTGTCTTTGCAGGGTGTCATATGAGAGGGACACTAAGATCATCAATGCTGCTTCATTCACCATTGAAAGGGAGGAGCACACTGTTGGCAATGTCCTTCGCATGTACTTTCAGACTTTCTAATTTTTCATTTTGATCACCCCTCACCTCTTCCCTCCCCCCTCCCCCTCCCTCCTTGCTCTCTCTTCTCCCCCAACAACAACAACCACCACCAATGTGGAACCCCTTTTAACTCTTTGATCTTTTATTCTCTTTATCTCTCTCACATATAGGAACTCCCCTTGACACTATTTGAGCTTCTGCACTTACAGGCAATTGCACAGAGACCCAAATGTTCTTTTCGCAGGGTACAAGCTGCCCCATCCTCTCCAGTACAAGATTATCGTTCGGGTTAGTCAATACATTATCATTCTAATTTTGAAAATACATATGTGCGGCATCTTTTTAATTTTCTTTTAGACTTACTATTCTGATAGTTATTTACTTTGCTTTTTGTGATGTACCATTTTGCAGATTCAAACCACAAGTCAATCTTCTCCAATGCAGGCCTACAACCAAGCCATCAATGATCTTGATAAGGAGCTTAATCACCTGAAAGATATATTTGAGGTCCGATGTTCAGAACTCTCAATTGTCTGACCCTATTGGTTCAAACACTTTTGTTCTTTATGAAGCACATGTTTGGCTGATGGAATGTTGCCTGGTGTTTAGTTATCATTGATACTATTTCATATTGATATCCTCATGGTTGGTGATACGGATCAAAGAATGTTTAGGAGTTGGGAATGAGTGGTGTCTGGGATAATAATTCTTGCATATTTAATTTAATTCCGCTGCCACTGAAATTTATGTTCTATAGCAGACTTACAACCAGGCAGTCAACTATGCTAGCCTGTCAAATCACAGTTATTGAGAAACCCTTCTTTGTGATTACATGAGGGACTTGATGGCAACTCTCTCTCTCTCTCTCTCGCTCTCTCTCTCTCTCTCACACACACACTGACAGCCTCTAGTTTCCCCTGCCATATCATTTGGGTGTCCACATTGTTCCCTACCCTTTGGCTCCTAAGAATGAACATTGCATATTAGAGGACTGAATGCCTCCCAAATGGATTTTTGAGTTCATATGAATGAATCTCCTCTACTGGATATGCATGAGCCTATTTAAAGCATTGTCACCCTAAAATCACCCCTTTAGGGTCTTATGCCTTACCCAACATAAATGATGATGCATCTTCCAAAGCAGATTGTACAATGGGCCATGCTTCAAGGACCCTCATTTTGGCATGTTTTGTGTCTTAATTTTGGCATGCAATGTCTCAGGTGTTGTGGATGGAAAGGGTATCTGAGTGTGGCTAGCTTTAGTGGTTGAGGTGGTTCATGCATTATAATGATTTGTGAATTATCTTTATGTTCTCTCATACCTTTGAATGCACTTATATTATAACAAAGAGAATCTCCTTCAGGGATGACCATTTATTCGAATGGGGACTAATGATCCTTATGATAGCATCCTATAAGAAAAGGGATTCGTTTTGTAATTAAGATTTACAAGCCCACAACTAAATTATAAATTCGAACTTCTTTTAAGAAAACAAAAAAAATCAAAAGTTACTTGTTGTTACAACCTTGATGATGTGGATTCAAACATAGCTTACCCATCAAGAAAATAAATCCCACTGATTAATGGTCTGAAAGAAATTGACTGATTACAACACTCATCTTATTTTTAGAGTTAGAGGCTCATCCATAATAGATTGAATTTTAGAAATTCCTTTTCTCATTGACGTGCCAAACCCATTTGTATGTATTCTTGCACTCTATGTGCCACATGACATTGGAAGACATTTATGGATGACAGGGCTGTCCTCGCCCCTAACTCCTTCAATCCAAATTGATGTTATTACTACTAAACTGGTTGTCTAACAGGTAATGGGCGTATTCCTGACCAAGCTGATTTGGCTGATTGCTCTTGCAAAAGTAAAGTGAAAATGGATCAGAACTTACCAAAAGTTAAAATAATCAAAATTCAATAAAAATGGATAAATCATGACTATCTAGATGTTTATTAATCACCCAACAAGGAGCCTAGCGTTTATATTTCTACTATCACATGCAAACAGTTGGCAGCTTTAAAAATTTCTGACTTACCATGCATTCCCTACTCATCTTTTAGTCCAATTTGATGTCATTAGGACCATAATAGTTCCTGAATTGGGAATGGGTTTGATATTTCCCAGGAAATTAAAAAATTAAATGAAATGATCAGAATTTAGAAGAATATAGAAATGCCACGAGCAACACTAAGGAAATAATAAGTCTAAGCTTAAGGCATATGATGATCCATACAATATATTGTGGACAAGAGAAGATAAAAAATACGTCTTCAAACTGGCAAAAATGAGAGATAGAAACTGTAGAGACCTAGATTTTTTTAAATGAATTAAGAGTGAGGATCATAGGGTGTTGGTGAAGGATGATAAGGTTGGAGAATTATTTTTAGAAATTGTTAAATGATGATCACTTCTGGGAGCTCATTGACTATTAACATAAATGAGGTCGGAGGTCATAGATACTTTCATTGGATTAGTACATTTAAAATGAAAGAAGCTTTGAGAAAGATGAAGATAGGAAAGGCTTTAAGATCAAATGGTATATCAATTGACGTTTGGAAGTGCATGGGAGAGATTGGCATATTTTGGTTGATCAAGTTGTTTAACAAGATTTTAGGAACAAAGAAAGTGTCAGATGAATAGAGGAAAAATATTGTAGTACCTATTTACAAGAATAAAAAGAGACATACAAAGTTGTATAAACTATGGAGAATCAAACTTATGAGCCAAAATATGAAACTATGGGAAAGAATGATTGAGCAATGGCTAAGACATGAAATGAGTGTACTAGAAAATCAGTTTGGATTTATGCTATGGAGGTCAACGATTGAGGCTATTTTCCTATTTAGGCAATTGATTGCGAAGTTTAGGGAGAAGAGAAAAGACCACCTCATAGTCTTTATTGATTTAGAGAAAGCATATGAGAGCAACCTAGAGGTAATTTGATGAGTGCTTGAAAAAGGAATCTTAAGATGATGTATTGACACGGTTAGGGATATGTACAAGGAGCGCTAACAAATATGAGGACAACTAGTGGAGAGACCAGTGATGTTTTATTAATAGTAGGCCTACTTTAGAGGTCAATGTTGAGCCCATATCTCTCGCCTTGGTTATGGACGAGTTAAGTGAGCATCGACCGGATGATTTATGTTGTTTGTGGATGACAATTTTGATTGACAGGACTAGAGATGGCATAAACGCAAAGTTAAAAGTTTGGAGTGATGAATCTAAGGTTTTAAAATTAGCTTGAATAAGATAGAATATATAAAATACAAGTTTAGTAATAATAGGAGAAAAAATGAGGAATTAGTTAAGATTGATGGCCAAGAAGTACCTAAAGGAGATTATTTTTTATATCTTGAGTAGGTAATCCATGAGAAGGGAGAGATTGAGGAAGATGCTGATCATAGAATTAGAGCTGGGTGGATGTGTGCTTCTAGAGTTCTATGTGATCGTTCGCATACCAGTGAAACTGATGGGGAGGTTCTATAGAACGTCTGTAAGACCAGCCATTCTTTATTGGATGGAGTCTTGGGCGGTCAAGAAATAACACATATATAGAATAAATTTGGCTTGAGATGAGGATGTTGAGATGGATTAGCGGCAAGAAAACGAAAGATATAATTTGGGGTGAATACATTCGGGGGAGCTTAGGGGTAGCTCCAATAGGCGATAAAATGACAGAAGGTACATTTACATTTAGGTGGTCTAGTCATGTGCAATATCGACCTAGAACATCGCCGGTTAGGTGGGGTGATTTGGTTCAAGTGAAAGGCTCTAAAAGGGCAAAGAAAAGTCCCAGAGGACATGAATGACAGTAGTGAGAAATGATATAGTGACTTATGGTTTGATTGATGCTATAACACTTGCTAGAGCGGAATGGAGGAACATGATTTAGGAAGAAAGGGAAGATGATGAGTGATATTTTCTCACAATAAAATTTTGAGATGAGTGTCCACCCCATACCTGGCTACAACAAATGGTCTCTTTCATTCTTATTTAATCTAATTCCTTTTATTAAAAAGAATAGGAAATAAAAAAAGGAAAAAAATAAAAAAATGGAACAAGATTCATATAGCGAACCCAAATAATTGGGAGAAGGCTTGGATGATGATGGTGATGATGATGAAATGAAATGGAAAGAAAAATACAAAAAAACAAGAGATGTAAATAAATTGTAAAAAAAAGGTGGAGGTTATATCATTTCATACTTATTACTTATTCAAAAAGAAAATTCTACTACTTATGCTTCTGCCTATTGTTATATGTTTCTAGGTTCTTTTCCTCAAGAACGAAACTTTCTAAGTTCATAGGCATTACTATGAAACCAAACCCAACATTGGATGTTGAAGCTAAAACTGTCTGTTTGACAGTGTGCTGCACAAGAAGCAACATTATTTACATAAGTACAAAACCCTAAACTTCCAAACATAGCATAATGTCCAAATTAGAAACGTGATATTTATATGATCTCTAATTATTGATGATCCCAGCCTGTGAAAAATCAGGCTTTCTATAGCCATTGCTTCCCTCTTCATTGGCATTGTCTTTCCTATCACTCTTCATATGTCATAAGAAAATACATAAAATTATGATAAGATTTTATGTAGCTTATACTCATCAAGTGGTTTTAAATGTATGTTTCTTTACTAGGTTTGGAACAGTCATGGATATGATTAATAAGAAAGAAACATAGTCATGGACATAGATGTTTTGTGACTTTCCTTGCCCTACCCACATTTTCTATATGTTCTTCCATATGGCAATGTCCTTTAGCCCAGTCGGTACGCTGTGGGGCACGTGGCACTTGTAAATTGCGCTGTTAAATTCCACATAGTTGGCTGCACCATATGTGACCAACATCCTTATGCATAAAGACATTGACAGATTCTACAGTTCTGATGCAGCTACAAACCTCAATAGTATTATCCCATTGGAAAATGAAAAGAAGATCCAATGGGGTGGGAACCATTTGAAGCAGCCAGTCATATGCCATAATAGAAGTACCTTGAAAGTGTAGCAGTGTTCCTAAAAGTCTATATATCCATAAACCATTTCAGGATTTCTTGTGGCTTCTTGTTTGATATTTAAACCATCAATTCAAGGGATGTATCGAGTCCTATTTCTAAGTTCAACGTCTGGTTTTTCAAAAGTGAGGCTCTCATGACTGGGGTTGTTTGCGACTGCAACATGAAAGGAGTTTAACCAAGTGCACCAAACAATCCACCTTCCCATTCTTCTATGCATTCTCAATGGATGCTTTCCTGCATAATATTTTTTCTCTGAGTCCCAAAGTCATTCTTTATACGAAGCGGTTCTCAAACATCTTGCTTTTATGTTCTCTATGTTCCTTTCTTGTGTTGTTTCTTTTCATTTATGTAATTGTGATTGATCTTGAGAAAAAAGCATCGACACATCATTAGGGTAGTACATTTATATAGCTTCTGTTCAGCTTGAACTTCTTTGTGGCTTGTCATGCAGATTTAATAGTGTATA